CCCCCCCCCCCCCCCCCCCCTCCCAATACTTCATGTTTTCCTGTTTGAGACATTCAGCGGTAGCTAAAGAAAAAAAGTATCAAGCAGCAGTGGCCAAGGCCATAAAATGATAACGCCCGGATGCTTAATCGTTCATTCTTTCGAGGGTTGCTTAGAAGCATACTGGTGGTAATCCTGAATCCTTATTTCACAAGCATCAAAAACTAACTCTTACTCTTTTTCAAGCAATTTAAATTTACTTCTAAATATGCCTGAACACCTTTCCCCATCGGAGTATAAAAATAATAACGCCCGGATGCTAATATCCAAGAAAACAGCAAGGAGAATTCGAGCTGGCTAAAGCTTAATCGTACAGATCGGGTAAAACCACACAGAGCTAGAAATTTTTTTAGAAGGCAAACTGATGTCAGAATCGCTGACAGAACTACACGCTGATGAGTCAGACTGTGAATTAACAATCTTTCCATGTAATGCCCCTAGAGCGTAAAAGAAAAATGTACTGTCTTGGCATTGACGGCAAAAAATAGTTCAAAATGAGGCTTTGAATGGATTAACCTCCTACGGCAAGCCCTAATTTATTAGGTGTATAAAGAAGCTGCTTCCAGATCGCCACAAATGCAGGTATTTTCGAAACCCTCATCAAGGATAGCACTAAATCTCGTCCCAGCTGTGCACAGTCCAAAAATCGTTCGGTGAGCAGCCATTGGCATACCAAAATCATCTGAGAACGTAATTGCTCGAAAGTATTGTAGGGGCTTAAATCGCAAATAAACCTGCAAAACGCAAAATATTTCTTTAAAATCTTAATTGTCGTAAGTTAGTTTTTCAAATAAAAAGTTCAAATGTTAAAGATGAATTGGTAAAACAACCCATGGTGATGTAAAGGTGGCAACATTTCGGAGGGCGGAGGGGGAGGGAGAGACAGAGAGAGAATATTGGCAAAAATTCAAAAAAAAATCTCGACACGTTTAGAGCTCTGTCAACTGCTCCGGTCAGAAAAACCACAAAAATTCTTCGGCCTCTTCAGCAGACGAAACGAATGTCAGGATCGTCAACAGACCGATTACTAGAAATTTGCATCACACTGATCGAAGGAGCAACATGGAGGTCGATGGAGGAATTGCCAGCTGCACAGATGGAAACCTAATGTATGATATGGAATACCAGTAATACATAGAATGGAATAGGAAGATTCAAGTTTAATATATTCCATGTGGAATAAGCTAGTGCGAGTGGTGAAGATTGGGAGATAGTATTTTGAAACTTGTTTTATAAACAATGTGTGACATATTCATATCTCATGTGCAGAGAATATCCAGGAGGAATATTTGTCAATGTTTCATCCCTTAGCTGTAAACACAGACAACTGAAGGTGTGACTAGGGGTTTGGGAATCATCAGTACAGCCTCCTATCTACTACTTATCCAAGAAAGAGCCATCAAGAGAGTTTAACCTTGTAAAAGTAAGCAGAGTGACCGGAATGAGCGAAGCTTTTGGTTTCAGTTCATTGAGCCACGCATGATTATCATTCAACATCACAGCCACGGCATTTAATAATGAGCATGTTTCTTTCAAATCATTCCCTGAAAATATACTTTTTTCAAAGGATCATCAGCATGCTGGTTGTAATTAGCATATAATGCCTGATTGTCACTAAAGGTAAAGTTGAACCAGAAAAGCTGTGAAAAAACGATGAAACAATAGCTGTTCAAAGTAGACACATGATGCGCCCTTGCCAGTATACTTCCTTCCAATCCCCATTTTACTTCATTTATTATTATGTCACTGTACTTTGCCAGCAGTAATGCTACTCTTTCCAACACTAACAACGAAAAAAAAAACCAAAAAAAAAAAGATTAAATGATACCATCATTAGCATTCCTGAGATAATTGATCAGAACATTGTCTATCTTTGGAACGTTTGATTTGATTGCTTCACGAAAGAAATACACAATCTGTTCGCGTACCTCCGATTTTAGCCTTGGATAGAGCTCGAACAATATCATATTCATGTTGCACAGAGCGCAAAACCAACTATCACGTGCCAGCAAAGACATAATCGAAAAATACTGCAAAAATTGGACATTAATTTGAAGTAAGCGACGATACGCGTTAGTGGGTAGTATCCGTGAAGAAAATAACCGTTGGGTTCGCCTGATAAAGGGCCTGGTATAGCTGCGCTCAACAAGCGGGAGCAATACAAGTAGTAACATCACTAACATG